CACCACAAGCAGGAAAAACATCATGTTCAGTTCTTTCACGTGTTTATCAATAGATATTGTAGTGGAGGCTTGCTGTTTTGCTGCTCAGTAAATATTTACATGTTACTTATTTAGCATTTCACTGGCCAGGCTGCGTCCCACATGGATCTGAGCCCGGGTGACCTTTTGTCCCTTCCGCCACCACCTACTGTACAGTCAAACAGAAGAAAAACCCTCGTGTTTACCTACAATACGACTCATTCAGCGTGTCACAGTGCTGCCAGAGAACATGCTGGTTTTAATGTACACATTGTTTGGTTTTAGTTTTATATTTGGACAAAAAAAACAAAACACTTGAAGCGACACCAAGTATTTTTAAATCTCATCGATACCAAGTATTTTTAAATCACTTCCACGAAACAGTTTGTTCAGTAAAAAACAAACTATTATTAGCTCTGGTCATGCGCGCTGACCACTGCGAGGTACAAATCACAGCCTCGATATCAACAAGTGCTGTGCCCCTATCCTACTGCAACCTTTGAGCTAAGATTAGGTAAACTACAGGGAACATGAACATTAGGGCCTGGGGGAATGAGGGGAGGTCAGTGCTAATAGCTTTGACTTGGAAGACTGGGAGCCTGGTAGATGTGTATAGTTGAGGTTCTTTGGGATGACTTCACAGAACAAGAAGTTTACTAATGTTTTTGAACTAAAATAGCATGTTTAGATTCCTGTAAGTGTTTATCCTGCTTATCACAGTGCAGTGGACATTTTAGTGGAGGTCTGGGAAATTGAAGTAATACTATATTCTGATGGTACAACACTCAAAACAAGTTGTTCGAAGCTTGAGCGAACATACTCCTGTGCATGTATGCAATTCCTGACAGTTTATAAACTTGCCCCTTGTGATACAGTTAAGCATCTTTTTTAGCCTTTCATACGTTTTAGGCAAAAATATATGAAGGTAATTTAATATTCAAAATATTTCTACACATTCTGTTTGTACATTCTATTTCATTGTTCTTAAATGTTTGTGAATTGATTCACTATTTGGGATTTAGCTCCCGGGACAAAGGTCAGACAAAGCTGTGTGTACTGTCTGTCCAGCACCAGATTACTCTGCAGCGCTCAGCCTGGTTTCCTTAGCCATACAAATAAAGCATAATATGTTGGTGCTGTAGCTTAAATAATTAATTTCCATTTCCCCCTGCTTCACTCTTATATTATAGCTAAAGCAGCAATATTACTTTAGAACATTAATTAGCTGTGCAGCAGTGCAAAGGTATATTTCAGACAGAAATAACAGATGGGCTGATTGTGTGTGCAGCGTACCGACATTAAATGGAAATAGTGCCTGCTCAAGTGTTGAATTTTGTTCCAGCTAGAAATTTCATCCCCTCTTTTTGCCACTATTAAAAAAATCAAGACATCCAGATTGTATCATTAAAAAACAACAAAGCAGATGTTTCTCACTGTCGGCCACATATACAACGTCCTTCACCTTCACAATCTGGTGACGAGAGAGAATCACAAGACACTGGTCTCCTGACTGGAAATACAGCATAACCATTATACAGCCATTGTGAACCACGCTGTCTGTGTCCATTCCTACATACCAACTCTATTTTTCTGTGTGTGTTCCTGTGCAAACGTAACACAGCACCTGTTTTCCATTTTGAATGCATGTTAACCTATTTTTATTTTGAACTGTGCACCCCTGTGTATCCTTGACACAATGCAGGAATGTAAGCCATCACACAACCATCAGTAAACATGTGAAAATGTTTCCTCCCAAACTCCTGGAAAGACGGATGATATTTATCCTGATTTCAAACAAACATTCAGACCCCGTAAACAAAATGTTTAGCCTGTTGGATCTGCACGTGGCTGTTGCAGCAACGTCTGTTCACAAACTGAAACAAAAACTTTAGACAGTGTGAGACTGAGGGTCTGGAAAAAGATATGAGGTTTTGAGAGTTTGAAAAACCAACACGAGATTTCTGATTGGAAGAAAATGCCATTGATTATTCTTTTGGCATGCCTCTCACCTCATTGGGATTTTCTGTCTCTGAAGTCTTATTGTGGCATTCACTCATTCTTTCAAATTTCTATTTTATTTGTTAAATTGTGGTAAATTAACTATTGAAACTGTCCTAAACTGGGCAAAATGTATTTTTGTTAAACCAACTTTTCGTCAAGGAAAAAATGCTCTTGACTTGCACTCTGCTTGTCCCTGGTTCTCCCTGCATTGATAATTGGCCACTTAAGACATCAAGTGAGAGGAAAAGATGCAGAACGGAAAGAAACGCAAGACCAGTGCTGGTGTTTGTTAAAGGGCGAGTAAACACTGGCTGTCAAGAAGAGAAGAGAGAAATGTCAGACAGTGTGTTTGTGTATGTGTGTGTGTGTGTGTGTGTGTGCATGCCCAGCAGGGATATACATACTATAGATCCAGCACTGCACTACTCATTTAACAGTTTAAAACAAATTCTCCACAGCCAGAGGTTTTAAGTGTCTCGGATCACAAATATTTGAAATGGTCGTAATGAACAGACGTGCAAAAGTATCACTGACGTCTTGGAACTGCATTCAGTCAGTCACTGCATCTAAATAATGAAAAACAGACAAACATTTTTAAAGCAAAACATCCTTGCTTTATTCTTAATTGTATTTCAACAGGAGAATATATGATGAATTAAGAGTTATTTGAAATGGCAATCTGTTATGATTATTTTCCTAACTGGAAATAAGCATTTCCAAACATTTGAGATTTTTTTTTTTTTTTTTTAATGTTTTCAGCCAAATTGACATTTTTTAAAGAAAAAAAACATAAAAAATGTCTCATTTGTAAACTCCTGATATGTCAGAGCTGAAAATAACCACTACATCACTTTAGTGCTGATTATTTATCATGAAATAAAGCAGTTTATTCTATGTTCCTGCAGGCTCAGGAATATGTGTAAGAAATAAATAAGTAAAGTTCTCTTGGTCACAGGCTGGACAGACACACACACACTAACACACACTCTCCACCTAGAGATGTCACAAGATTTATGAATGAGGGTGAGCTGACAGATCATTTTAAATAATGGAAACTCAAGTCTCAAAGGAACAGAGTCCATGACGCCAATAGGTAGTAAAATTACCCCTTGAATCTGCCAAGACCAATGGGCTCCAGCCCTGTCTGCTGCATTCCTCCCCTGCACCGCTCACACACACTGCCATTTAAGGCTGCCGAGTGTGCTGACAGACTTGAGAAGGCAGAGGAAGATAAAGAGGGGAAGTGCCTCTGATATTCTACACTGATAAAGGACTTATTTACCTCTGTCATGTGTCTGTCGTTAAGTCTGCGGGGTGTCTGTGGAGCTTTGATATCACTGCTTTCTCCTTCACTTGTCTTCCCATTGGCCTGTTCTCCTCTTTTAAAATAAAAGTAGTCTTTAGTTGTGCAGGTGTTCAGGTCAAACTACTATAAATAGCGCTGTTGGGAAAAATCTCTGCAGACATGACGATTTGCCTGCATTCCAAGTGCAATAAATCTACAGAAATTATAAAACATGATATGTTTAACAGGGAAACAGGCCTCACAGAGAGTTGTCAGTTTCATCACCGCATCTTGGCTGAAGTGAAGCGAGAAGACATGACGCACACTTCAAGCTGCTGCTCTCACATGACGTGACGCATGCTTCCCTCTGTTGGACAACTACAACAACTGCTGCCTGCGATAAAAACCAATGGCACAGATCCTTCTAAAGTCCAATGGTAAATATTTATGATTTAAAGAACATTTAAGTTTTCTCTTACTTGTGACTCATTGATATGTTCACTACAGTTTCTCACAAAAACTGGCCCTTATTTCCTGAAACAGAATTTTTCTTGCCAAAGAATATTCCTTACCCACAAAGGGAGGCGGATGAAAATGGTAAATAGTAAAAATGTTGGGAATACGTGGTTATAAACTGTGCTACGGATGCTAATGTATTCACACATAATGGTATGAGAGTGCATGAAACTAAAATGAACTACAGTCTGTTTTCATGAATTATTTAATAAATGGCTTTTTGTATAATGCCACTGTTCTCTCTATGTAAATGTGTTTTGCAAAAAGAAAGTGCAGTTTGTGTGAAACCAGGCATAAATACTTTATATTACTATTTATTACTTTCATATCACGCTGTGTTTTTCAGTGACTTGTTCATTGTGTAGGAGAACGTATGCATCTCATTTCATGATGTGACCAACTAAACGTTGAAAACATGTACAGTTTCTTCAGGGTGATAATGGAAACATAGTTGCATTTTAAAAATTGCTTGTGTACTTCTGCTTTCTGTTCAGCAGCGAGCTTATTTAAATGCAAATGAAGCTGAGTGCCATTTCATGTGCAGTTAATATTTTAACATTATTAACCTACATACAGTGACTTAAATGCTACTTGCTAATGCTACTTAAATGGTAGAAAAAAATACTTGCAAAACAATTCTGTTGTGCAAGTCGTCTGTGTGTCTTGTGCCATAGAAAATATTCGAATGTGTCCATGCACAAGTTGTTCTGGTGTTAGTTACAATGCTCAGCCGGTAAGTCAACTTAACATTTACTGTGTCTGTAAGTTTCTATTGTTGTTCACTGTTTTAGAGAAACTAAATATGTTAGAAAGAACATTGTTGTTAGATTTATACTGTTGAACACTCAGATGTGTTGATTCTCGTGCACTTGCTCTATTTTACCACTTGATGTCGCTCTTTTTTACAGAAACCAGTGAACTGAAACAAAGGGCCAAGCTGTTAAATCATTAACACACTACTTATGCAATGGTAAGCAGAGACAAAGTGTATATAGAGCTAAACTTTACATTTTTACAAAGTCTGTGTATGTATGTGTAAAGAAAAACTGAAATAATCTGAATGCTATTATTATTATTATGTACTATAACCATGCTAACAGATGAATTTTACAACAGTGCTGCATTGTGTAATTGTATTCCACTGTGTTTCAGTAAAAATGGTAAGTGTGAAGCTGCTTACCTTCCTCCCAGAGAACAGCATACACAGCTGATGCATTGAGCCTCCATTCTTGGTCAGCTCTTTCTTCAGGGTTTTGGGCGATGGCAGCGTCCAGCCGCCCTTGTGGTGCGCTCCCCCGGCCTCTAGGCAGTTGATGGCGTTGTCGGAGGTGAAACAAGGCGCTCGGGGATCTTGCAGGAGGCTCCCCTCACTGTGGGTGCGCCTGCGGAGGGAATTCTGCACGCTGAGCCCCCCTCCACCGTGTTTCTCACAGGTGGCAGCCTCCACCATGCTGCGCCGCTTGCTGTCGCTCCTCTGCAGGTAGGCATCGTCGCTGTCCTCTTCGTCATCCTCATCATCAGACTCGTCGTCGTCATCCTCATCTTCGTCGTACTCTTCTTCATCGGTGTTGGGTGAGGAGAGGGCATCGGCGCTGAAGGAGCGATCAAGTCGCAGCTCAGGGATGACAAATGAAGATGAGGAGGAGGAGGGAGGAGCGTTGGTGTCGGGTGGCTCCGAGGCGTTGTCCTCATCTGTGTTTGACACTACCAGGTTCAGGTTGACCTCCTCTTCATTCATCTCTCCCTCCTCCTCCCCTCTATAATAGGGCTTCTCTTCCCCCTCACTTACAACACTTCTTCTGCTGGCCCCATCTTCCTCCTCTTCCTCCTCTTCCATGTGCGCCCCATTCTTCATCTGTCTCCAGATCTCCATCTCATTTCCCTCAATGCTCTTGCAATCCTCACCCTCGGTGGAAGGAGGTGGTGTGGGAGGCACCTTATGTCGCTCCTCGGATCCCATCAGACCACCAAGGGGCATGTAGATCTCATCCAAAGGGGTAAGTGACTCGGAGGGGTGAGGGCTTCCCAGGGTCCGAGGCTCCGAGGGGCTCGAAGGATAGAGACTGCTCTCATCGCCCTCTGAGCTGCGGGTGGGCAGGTGGAGGCACACACCTCCTCTATCTCCTCCTACTCCGCCCAGTTCACATGAAGGGTCATCCACCTTAGGCTCCAACATCTAAAGAAGGGGACAGAGAAAGAAAAGATGGAATAAAAGTTAGTCCCATCTGTTTGTTCCATGGTCTGTACACATAAATCAAACAAATTCAATGCAGCATGATGGAGAAGTCTGTGATTTGAATCTGTATCCGCCTAAAAGAAAGACTACTGAACCCTAACAGGATATAGTGCACTATCAGTTCTAACATGGAAGCTTAAACAGGAGGCAACATGTCTGGGGCCTGGAGAAGGGGGGGGCCCTAAGAAGAGCTGATCGCATTAGTCCACAAAAACATATATTTTGTGAGAACTGCGTGCAGGACTGCAATGACACCATGGTCAGAAACTCCAGGGCCTTTCTTGTAAATTGTGAGGTTTGGGTCGACATAGGTTCCTGTTTTTTTTGAGGCCCTTGAAACTTTCCTTAACTCCAGATCAGGAATATCAACAAACACAGAGCCCATTGTGAACACTGTTCAACGAGGTGAATGACAGCATAAAAACTGATAACACATCTTGTGTGTCTAATGTTAATTTTGGCTCATTGTAATTCCATCAGACTGACAAAAGGCTGATCTGCAGGAGACCAGATTGTAATATCCGTGCCAGTGAGTTCATATTGTGATACACTGTTGTTTTTCTCACCCATGCTGCTACTGCACTACACCAGAGCTTGCTGCACTGATTCAGTCAAACTAAGCTGCAACCGAGCCCTCGGGGGCTGTGGATTTAAAAAACAGTGTTAGCACCAGCAATATTTATCTTCCTCCTCTCTGACATGTTTCTATCATTTCAAAATAGAATAACTGTATTTTTCACCCAAAACGACTGCACACATTATTCCTCCACTGCTCCATAATGGAGCCCTCAGTAGGTGGATCATTACCAATGCATTCTGAGTGGGCCAGCGTCACTCAATCCCACAGAATTTCAAATTCGATAGGATCATCAGAAGTTGTGAACGATGCTGAATATGTTTATAAAGCTATGCACAAAACTTTTTTTCCCTTCGATTTTATTTAGCAAATTAAGCATGGTTACAAGCAGATTTTTTAAATCAGAGCCATACATGTTTGAAAATTTAAGGACACTACATTTCCAGAGGGTATTTCAAATGTATATTCAAATAGCTGTTGATTTTGGCCCTAGTTTATTTTGACAAAGGGGCTTAGGAACTTATTAACGTGTGCTCATCAAAATGCTGCAGCCATTCAGAGCTAACTCTGTAAACATGACTCACAGCAGAAACCAGGAAGAAATCCAGACACCTGAAGGCTTTTATGGACACTTTAAACAGAGATGATGAACTGGTTTAAGACAAGACTGTGTTCAGACAATAAAACTGCCATCTCATAGGTTCACTCGGTCAAGTCAATGTATTAAAGTTACTCAAAGAGGAGATTTGAACGCAAAGTATTAAGCAATAAAATGTGAAGTCAGAGAAAATGCAAAATGGGACAGAGAGATGAGAAAGTGACGCTCATTTTGTCCTATTTCTTTCCATCTTTCACCTCCTCCGGCTCAAAATGTCTCAGAGTGTAAAACGTCACGGTGACTCTATATTTAGTTAGGGTAATGTGTGTTAATGGATACACATTAATATATACAGCAAATGAAAATAAACCATGGTGCTACAAATATCTTGTTGTGCAACACAAGCCGACGACTCCTGACTTGTGAAGTCACGAGTCGTCTGCTCAGTCAACAAAATTAATCGTACCTTCTCTCAGACTGCGGCGAGTCTAGTGAAGGGTTTCATTGTGCTGGTCAAGTCAACCCATGATGACGAGCTGCAGTCACAAGACATCCTCGCTCTAACTGGATATAATGCTGCCTCCTCTCAGACAGCTCTCATGATATTTTATAAGCTGTTTGTGTGCTTTTGCAGCTCAAATTTGTTTCCTTCAGATGCCGTTGCCCCGCTCACCCTTGGCTTTCAACTTTTGACCTGTATTCAGAAACTCAGGGAGGAGCTTTTGGGATTTTGATTCAGGAGGAACTCATACAAATTCTGAATTCTACCTCATATAAGTACTCGGTGATAACGTGTGTGCAGAAAATAAAAGCAGTTGTATTTTAGCGTTAAAAGTAGAAGCTTTTATTTGCATACTGAGTGGCGTGAGGTATGATTTGCCTCAACTGCATGTATGCACAATCTGAACATGGTATTTCTGGATGCAGGAATGGGACGGGGAGGTCTGAAATTGGGGTCACCGTGACTCCAGCAACAAGATGACCTCATATTTTTGTAATGTGAGCTGTGGAGAACTTGAGGGCTGCGGTCTGTGTGTGTTCACTATCACTTTCTGAAACTATCTGCAGACGTGACATTTAAAAAACAATATATGATGTTTACTCGTCAAAACAAATAATGCCCTGCGTGTTCTTCAAAAGCTGAGTGTCAAACTTTGTGGGCTGAAAACTACACAACAGGTTTCTGCAGTTCATTTGTAGAGAACCTGTATGCATCTATGTAGATCTATTTTTTCAAAATGTAACCTAGCACCCTTCAAATAAAATTGTTATCAGCAATAATCATGTACTATAGTAGATTTACTACATGTGAAGAAGAGCTAAACTTTAGAAAAGTAAACCTGTGTGTTAATGAGTGCCAAACTACAGGTGAATTAGTTACGAGCAAGAATTCACCATAGAATCAGGTATGAATCAGAAAGACTTCATTTAAAGTTACAGGGATATTCTATTAGTAAGTAAAGTAATTAGTATAATTAAAACAACTGTAGTGTGTATTTTAATATTTATGGGGTTTGTTTTCCTGTGAGGGTAAAAATGACGGTGAGATCAAAATGCAGAGGTTGTACCAGACAATTTTGGTATCTGAGCCACAGATAAGCAGCAGAGATGGAAGATGAAAACATTAAAACAAAAATATACTAATTTCAAACCCCCACCCCAAAGAGCAGTCAGTCCTGAGAGTGGTCTGGATCCTGTCACCTCGTCGCAGACCTCTCTTTATTCTAGCAAAAGATCTCTCTGAGAACCCGATGTTTAACAGACCTTTTCCTTGTCCGTTTGGGTGGTGTCTGTTTCACTTACTATTTCCCAGTGCGGCTGCAGTAAAGTCACGAGAACAGTGACTATAAATATAAACTTGACTTCTCTTGAAACCCAGCTACCCCAAGGTGATTCCAGACCACTCATTTTCCCTCCTAACTACCTCTTAACCTCGCTGTGATCCTATCTAAATGCGTCACAGTGGTGTTACAACCAAGACATCAAGGCTTCTACTGATTATGTGAGGTGTATTTTTAGAGTCAAATGGACATTCATAAAATTTTCCTTGGGGGGGAGGTTATAAGTAAAGCCTCTGTCTTCATCCTCTTACATCTGTTTCCTGTTCTTTCTTTGGTCATGTTGGTCCAAATCAGAATACAGAGTGAGGAATTTAGGGCTTTGGTTGTTTTATCACTTATTTCACAGAATGGACATTTGAAACACAATCGGATAAACATTAATTGTTTTATCTATCCATCACGCATTTAAGGAGTGTCTCAGTTCAGTGGCAGCATCCTTTGAAGGCTGCATTTAATGTCCTTCCATGCCCAAGAAACAAAGTCTCCAACTGGTGGATCCTTCTCTGAACCAGTGATCCGGGGATGCATTGCGTAAATGGCGACAAGATGTTGCAAAACAACCGACCAGCTAACAATGTGCATGTTAAAAAACCAAGGGACACACACACACACACACACACAGTTTCACATTAATCCGGTGCATCTCACATTATCACCAAAATAAAAATAAGTAAAAACATATCAATAAATGCATTAATCTTAAAAGCTTTGTCAAGTTAGGACAATTACATTTCATCCTGCACTCACTAACCTCTCGTCAATGCCTGATTCAAAAGACGAACCCAAAAGACACAAGCTAATGGGCGACAAGACCTTGCAGAGCGTCCTGCTTTCCTGCTCTTGGATTTACTGTATATGCATGTAGAACACAGGTACTCAGTGGTCATTCAACAGAATAAATCAGAATACAAAACCAGCACTAAAAGGAAGAGAGAGCAGGATGAGGGGTAAGAGAGTAAATAGATGGAGGACACAATGTGGATAAGACAAGCAGAAGGGAGGAGGGGAGTGGGTGATAGATAATGACATGGAACTGCAGTGAGTAAGTGGAAAAGGGCAGAGAGAGGGAAATAAAGCAGGAGGAAAGAGGAGAGGACAGGGAGTAAATCTTCTAAATGTCTGTGTTGGTTTTTAATGTAGATGGACCATTAACACTATTAGGTCTCGTCAATGACCTAACGAGCTGATGATGACCTTTTCTGAAACACGAGAATATGAATTTATGTGTTTGGTTTGCTTTAATGGTCCAGGATCAAACAGTGAACTAGGATTTAGCTCACAGAGAAGATGTGATTTATTGTCTCGGCGGCCAGTGAACTCCACGCCCCCCCTCATAGGCTAAAACTATGCTTCATCATGTTCGAAATCGAGCCTGCACTTTTTCTTTCAAGGCCGGGAGGCAGCCATACGGGCGACTGACATTTTTCCATGAGTTAGTGAGCTCCAGAGTCAAAGTCATTTTAGCTCATTTTACACATTGTATAAAAGTCTTAATGTGCCCGAAAATGGAGGAAATCAATTGTACATCATTGCTCTGTGTATCAGAAGCAAAATGTCTATATACAGAAAAAAACAACATGCTGCTGTTCCGAGAGATAAAAACGACATGCATACCATTGACCATCCTTCTGTGTATTGCCATGCAGATCTCTTCACACTCAAATGCTCACATGATAAATCCCTCTGATGTAGATTACTGAAGGCCTTTATTCAGACCTCTGGTCAATCATTACATGTGCTGCTGAAGATTAAAAGGACATTTCAGACGGCATGTTTTACCAATAGCAAACAGTTCAAAACGCCACTAGTCGTATTCATGTCATTTAAGATCTGTGTAACTTAACGTGCCGGCGGCCGCAAATAAACTAATGGGGAGAATTATCACATTTCCTATTTTTCAGTCTGTTAACTTGCATTTTCTTTC